AAATCATCTTGCGGGTTACTTTTGGGGGGCCATTAGTAATCAGTGTATTTAAGGTAAACAGCCTGACCTTACATAAGATAGCTATTCGAAAACACTCTTCGGCAGCTTTTTCGATTCGAAGATTTTTTTGGAGCACAACACACGGATAAAAAAAACATTTACAAGTTCTTCCATTTCTTAATTGGATATTCAGGATTGGGGCGATGAACATACTGAAATAATGTCTTCTGGAAAGCTGGGTATTCAAAATTACGGCACCAGCTGTAAGTACCTTCAAAATGCCTGTCCCATTTCCTTTAACTTCTGCTATTTTCTCATGTTTTATGATGTATTCTAATCTGTGTTATGATCTGCGTCGTTACCTTTTCGTCGTTGGTGTTGTTCTTTAAGATTATTGCATTGTTTTTGTATAATTGAGAAAAATAAGAATGAATAAGCCAGACGAAGTTGCAGCAGCTCGTTAGGGGGAATCCGCTAAAACCGCGTACTTTGTCGACCCGTGTTCTCCATCAGACATTCATCATACGACACGACGTGCGTTCTGTCATTTACTACTTTACAATTAACCACGATTTCACTCTGGCAAAGGCGCGCCCCAACGGCGAAGCAGCTTCGTGATCTGAACAACAAAAAGTGACCACCAGTGCTATGGCCACAGGAGGCTGTCGGTGACCATCAACAATCAGACAGCGACCGCCGTCCGCCATAACCGTCTCACCGTTCACAAAATATGGCAGACATCGGATAGACCGACGGACAGCAGACAGAGTGATCACTCATTAACAATACCCCTCACCACTGCTACTGTTAACTAGCTTCTGCCGCGCATACATACAAATACCTACGGAGGGCAATGTCGAACAAAACAGTGGCACTTCGACGTTTGTGCGTATTTATAATAACCAGTGCCCTTACGGATAAACAGGAAACGCGAAAAAAACGAGATACGTTCATTCAACGAAGAATAAAGAGACAAAATAGAGAAAAGATCACTTTTGCGACGAACAACGTTATCTATATATTTACGCTGAAGCTAGAAGTACTTACAATTTTGTAAGCACATCGTGCTACGTAGACAATCGTCCTTCAGATGCACTGACATCAACAACAATTTATTTCCGGAGTTTGAGGACCTACAGATTGGATTATTTAAAGTAAATGGTAATAACAGTCTTGACCACGGTTAGGATTTTCCTCACCGATCATTGAGCGTACGGGGTATCTCAACAAAAGAGCTATGAATCCGTTGACGGATTTTTATCTCGTTTGGAACAACTTAGGCCTACTGGAAATTCGAATATGGGGCGCGCGTCAAGCGAAGGTTTACCACCGTAAACTTCCAGAGTAAATGCATTGACGCTAGGACACTGAGGTCCATTTGCGTAATGAGATGACTATTTTCGCTTAATACGTAATAGCTCGTCGTCTTCATCGTCACCATTGCTACAACCATCACCATCACAACGCACAAGAGTGCCTTCGTTTTTCGGCGTTCCAGAAACTGTAATCGAAAACCTTTTTCCTCGGCAACTATGGCAGCACAGTTCAACCTTGCCGCTATTTCAGCTGCCTGGATTTAATCCTGCGGCTAAAAATGGGAATAATATCACGTGCAGAGATAACCCAAAAACGAAGCAATAGCAATCCGAACGCGTTACTACGTACATGACAAACTTATATTCGTTAAGTAAACTGGGAGCTGCATTGAAACGAACTAAAAAGACCATTGGTTGCTTCGTAAACCTTGCTAATAACCCCCTAATGTTTCTGTCGCCGTAGTACAATTGCATACACATCACTTTCTAATAGATTCCTTCCTGCCGGCTGTTATGTAGCAGCATTTCCGCGGGAAAGCTGTACTATCTTCTGACAGGTATGGCCCAGAGGAGAAAAAAAACTAACGTAATCATTTGCCTATCTGTTTCTAGGTGGGCTTTTTCACCCGGATCCGATCAAGCTACAACGGATCGGGGCCCCCTATGCGTTCATGCATCATTTCCACGAAGCCATTACTAGTTGGCTGACAACAACAACGCTGTTCATATCAGTAGCCATTCGGCATTATAAATATACGCCACGCAGAATGTCACCGATAGAACCATTGGCATGGAAGCATACTTACAATAATATCTGATCGACTACGAACTGGGATCTCGTTGCTCATGTTCAAGTTATTCTTTATTACGTACATTTTCTCTAAACAACGAAAACAGGGAAAAATGTCCACGAGGTTTAAGTTGACAAATGCGGTGTCGGTCATTGGACCAAAGTAGGGTCTCACGTCTCATGCTGTGACGAAAAAATAGATGTCAATGCAAGTTACTAGAACAAACATTTTTACCGTTTATTTGTTTTCTTTCCATTTCAAGTACGCGTGGTTGGCGCCCAATTTCAGACCGTTTGCAACGTAGTGTCAGTTAAACAGCCAGAGAACTTCAGTTCTCAAGAATTACGCAATGGAGCACAGAGTTCTGCAGCTGGATTGCATTTTGCGTCAGTGATCGTCAGAAATTACGTTTCATCATGGATACGTTCGGTGACTAATTCAATTGCGATTATAACGTACTAGCGTATCATATCCACAATATCGATAAGCCGTGACAATGCGCAATACGTTGTTCTTCCGAAGACACGCATATCGGGCCTGTGTCGTTGCCGGCTGTGCAGACCCAACGTAAACTGTCACCTCTTAGCTCGGCTGCAAGCGCATCTCCGTGCGTCAGTTGGACTGCGCGTATGCAGCGATCGATTGGCGAGCTCCTGTAATTAAGGTGTCAAGGATCATTCCCTGTTACGCCAGCTTGGCGGCCTCGAGAATGCTTTCGTCGCCGGTGACTACTGTTTATGCCCTAAAAGGTTCTGGGTCTCGGGTGTGTCTGCCCCGACCGGTTTTCCTGCAAGCAAGACGTGATGTGAAACGTCCCATTATCCGGACGGCGTGCGCCTGAACTGTTACAGCATTGGGAATAAAGCTTCAGGCCAGTTTAGGTAGCAAAGGCTATATAAAGTGATTTGAGCTTTGGTGTCCGGCCGGTGCGCCGTTGTTTAGACAAATACGAAAATCGAGTTTCACTTACCGAGAGATCTCTCATCAGCTTTACTAGTTCTATGTTGATCTTATACGTACCAATCTAAAGCGCACAGATGTACAGTATCTTTTTTATATTTTAATGTTTAGGTACAATTGAGAGCACCAGACGAGTAAGAATTGTAGCTTTGTAAGTCATATCAGTGGCTCTATGAGATCTGTGCAAAATGGCTTTTAAATTTATGGACTATTTGAGCTCCATATTTTTTTTACCAATAGGTGAGGAGCCGATAAGTACACATATATCGTCTGCACATTCTCAACCGAGCTGAACACAGATATTACAGTATTATTTACCTTAAAAGGCGTAACCGGTACCTGTAATATTTCTCAGTGTCCCTTTGTTTAAGTAGGAATCTTATACTCCAACAGCAAGTAAGGAGTAACAACGGTTCTGGCACAAAAGATCCAAAAGACACCTTACCAATACGAAGCTCTGCATTTCTATCAACGAAGTTGAACGCAGCATACGCCATTACGTACATGAGTACTCGTACACGCTGTCATCTAATAGATGTATTCATTATACGTATGTTCCTACGGCTGAACGGTTTTGCCGCTGCGACGACAAGATGTCACAACAAAAAGAACGTATTTATTGATTTCTGTTATTTTCGTTCATCTCTTTCCGAGACTTGCCCGCCGGTTCAGGCCTTGTAGGGCTTAGCTTAAGCCTGAGTTCTGTCTATGAATCGCCGAACGTCTATCGGCTTCACGGCTTCATCGATAGCCCAGCCACAGAAATAGGGTCGCTTACCAAGTTCGTTGTGGGTTTGCGGCTTCGTGACGTAGTTGTCGCTGTCATCATCACCGTGGTCGCCATCGTCGTCAATACGATGACAGAGGAATGCATTTTCGTTGCTCGCATTTGTTCCACGGTGTGCAGTCACTTCGAACCATGTTCTGCCCTGTCCGTGTCGTTGCGTTATGGCGACATAGTTCCACTGGATCTACCATAGTTGTCGCGGCATGAAGCAATCGAATAGGGTACGACCCCTTCGATCGGTGGGTCAGGCATTCAGTACATTCCAGTTCGAAACGCGACATCATTGACGCGTTGCTCAATGGACTCGTGTGAACTCCGTTGTGTCTTAGCGAAAGGAAGTCATGCCCATTGGCCGATGGGCCACATGGCCATCGTTCCGACAATACGTATATACGAAAATGCACTAAGCATGCAACGCAAAAATGCATACCCAATAACACAAAATAGAGCGTTGTACATGAATCAAAACCCCTCTGTGACGCATGGTCGGAAGATCGAGGAGAAACCACTGTGAGGCTTTTTCAGGTCGTGTATAGTATAAAGCTTCGATGCTTACACACAGTTAGTAGTATTACATTGTAATGTTGTTTCTTGTTTGTATTACTTTAGGCAAAGTTTTAGAATCGCCATGCCCCACCGAGTGGAAAAGCTGCATTACCCGAGTCATGCTAAGGTATAGCAATACGGGGACTTCGTATAGCAATCGTTTCCTTTGGCTGCGAAGTAAGCGAGTACAACCAACTTATCGAGATGCGCTGCTAGGACAGTATCAAGCACGTAGTTCTCAATTCAAGTTATTTGACCTATTTCAATAGATGGACAAGTGTTTTTTTTTTACGAATCAGTCTAACTTTATTGGTAATCAACGGTTCTAATAGTTAATGCTTGAATACTAGGACAATACGTGCACACCATCGTAAACGACGGATGCTTACGCCACTATTGGGAGCGGAAAGGTTAGCGGAAAAAAAATGCCTAGCAATTAATGGTACCGAGCTTGTATTATATAGCTGTACCTATCGAATAGTAAATGTAACACGGCGAGGGCGGTTGAATATATAGATCGTGAGTGCCCGCAAAGGAGCTCATGCTGGTCGTGATCGCCGTCACCATTACTAGTTTTACCGGATAAAAACAGCTCGTTCCGCTACGCTAAGCAACACCGTCTTGCGGTAAAACGATTCGATCGTTCAGCATCAACTCCATACAACAACTGCATGCCGAATCGTGCCTGAGCTTTAATATGGCCACATAAAATATCTGGATAAGTGGCTCGTACAACAGAATTAAGGGAACGCTCGATGACAGCCACATCAATAAGTATCGTTCAAAGGACCGCGATCGAAGACTCGAGACTTTTGCTGCCCCTTGTAAAATCAGGTACGATCACACAACGAGTTAGCACACGGCTCTGTTCAATTCGAGCTCTGATCTAGTGTAAAATCGTGTTCGACATTTTTTAGTTAGTTCTATTTGGAGCGATGATAAGAAAAACAGAGTGTTCCGAACATTTAGGAAAATCATATACGCTTTTATGACGCGCAAATACCTCTCTCTGATCGAAGTAATAGGGCTTAAAACTACGAGGTCTTCCAGAGAGCATTTTTAAATACTTCGAGCTCTGGAAACCAATCCACCACCCTGTAGCAACTTCAATACCATCATTACATTCTCGATTATGCGTCTACTGAGGAGTCTTTAGCGGATCAACTAGTTCATGGGAGTTTCGAACAATGGAAGCCCGTTTAGGAAAGTTACTAAGCTTTACGGCGACTACATATTCCGGACAGAAAATATTAACTAGCAGAAAGAATAAGAAGAAGCACATTGTTAAATCTTACTCCATATCATTAGTAAAGCATGTAGAATATAAATGATTGCCTATATAAGTAACGCTTTCAAATACTGTTGTCAGCGCCAAACCGAGAGCGTGTTGCAACAAACGGTCTAGCAGGAGATCAAAAAGTAAAATGTACGCCTACAGCTAAATTCGAATCCAGATCTTCTCACTTTTTGAGACCAAACAAATGCATTATGGCTGCGCCATAATAGGAAACTCATTTTTAATGGAGAATAAGATATGCCCCGTTCTACGCTTTTCGAATTGATATAAAACAATAGTGCCGCACACAGTCACTTTTGAAATTTACTAAGTAATTTATTGGAAAATCTATTCTAACCATACCTAAAAACGGTTTATTCTCGAATTGCGGCTCCAACCGTTGTTCGCAGCTTGAGCGCGCACTTTCGACATATCGTGTGAGTAAATAGTGTTTTTGTTATTTCGCCAAGATAATATGTAACAGTTACACAAAATAGTTATTCCCATATATCCCAGATGCAGTACACATTTTTCAGCTCGTTTTTACCGAGACGGCTTTAGCGGCTACCACTCTTTTGGCTCTCTTCCAGCCGCAATGCACGCCTATGAATAGATCTGTGCATTGTCCTCCGTTCGCTTCTCCGTTTTGATATGAAACAAGGATACAGCAGTTATTATATTGTTGTTGTTGTTGTTCAGCGAGATGTGCTTGTGTGCCTGCTCTTTAGCCTACCTGAACCTATTTCACTTTATCGGGATCGTTCTCTTCTGCCGTCGACGGAGCGTAGGACTAACACTGAGCCCAATGAGAAATCGAGCTGGCTTCGGCTGATCACCGCTGACGGCTTCTATGGGCCGCCCGTGTTTTGTATACTGACGCAGGCCGTGCTTGTTGTTACTGCCGCTAGTTTTGCCGTCTTTGCTGCATTTCGCCCCAATGTTGGGTGTGTGTGTGTTGTGCACGACAGGACAAGGACCTGAACTAAAGAGGCGAGGAAACAGCTTCGTCTGTTCTATTCTGGGCCAACAACAACGATGCTTTCGAGTGAGATGTTTATACGATACGCGTTGAGGTGCGTACTCCTCGCCTTCTAGCGAATGTCAGATTTGATTGCTGTGTCTGGAGAGATAGATCAAAATATCACTCCAGATGGACACATAGATCGATAACTTTCTAGTGATGCCTTTCTTAACAACGTGCGCCTTAGCGGGCAACACCAGTTTTTCATGAAATAACAACAGTGCAGAAGATGACGATGATAATGGTGGTAATAATGCCGGCTTTGATCGCTGTCAATTCATTGTTGCCTACGGTCGCGCTATGACGGGTCGGCAATTGAATCTGCTCGTGTCTCGATAGTTATGTACGGCTAGGCTGATGTATACACATATATAAACGTATAATGTGTAACAGTGCCCATGTGTCATGAGTGATTTTTACAGTCACTATTATAACGGCTGTTGTTGTTATGGCAGTGAGGATTATGATCACTGAGGTGGAATTTGTGTCAATCTATGATGTCCTGTCACTAAGTTTAGTTTGACGCGTCAGGCAGCGATGCTGAATGATATCAGAAAACATTTCCATTACAAACGTTCGTTTGAGCCGGCCTGTGAAAGAAGTATGAGAGTGACGAACATCAGTTGCGTATCTAAGTTGCAAACCCTAAATTCTGTTTAACTTACGAACGAGTATATAACACAGTTTAGAAAGTAGTCGACTCTACTATTAATTCCATCCGGAAAGACTGAATGCTCTTGCTTTGCATCATTTGCGGATGTAGATTTATACAGGGATATAATGTACATTTGCTCAACGAAGCAATAGCGGATAAGTTAAAAAGTATTATCGCGCTTGTTACGCCTCGGGTTTACGAGGAATCGTTACGTTGATTTCACCTGTACCATACGCACTTTCTTTTTCTTAATTATCCATGTCTTTTTTTTTTTTCTAAACTGTAAAAGGTCTTCATTATAAACTGCGCATCTAAGAAGGGTCCTCTGAATGCTCACAGCAACAAGCGAAACTATTAAATATTGGATTTAATAAACAGTTTTCTACATCGAGTGTATAAAACGCGTTATAAAAACGTTCCAGTAAACATTTAAACAAGAAGCGGTCTTCAATGCAGTCTGATATGTACTTCGTCTCTGGGTGTCCCAGATCAATAGCTTTTTAAATTTAGGTTTAAGTACGCGCCTGAACCACCTTGATCGCTGTCGATTACCTTATTTAATGATAGAGTTTACGTGGATAGAAGCTCACGAATGTCTAGGCCATCGCTACGGTGGGGAATCGCAACGCGATTCGTTTGACTATAGGATTTTTATTGCCTCGAGTAATAATTCTCCAGCCTTGAGTCGAAGTATAGACGAGCTAGTAGAAATCTTCATGGTAAAGCTACATGTATGATGTGGATTATTTAAGAATAAAACCGTTTCCTACTCCCTTCTGTATTTTCTTTGTGATCTTTTTACCACTCTACTAATAAACTCTATAGAACGCGCCACTTGCTTTACCCCTTTTTAAACGTCTCGTTGGATAAACAATCCAAAAGGTATTAAGTACGTTTGCTACTCTATTCACATTACACCCAACAAGGTCTTTTTCGTTGCTGCCACCCGCCAAAATGGCTTTTTCTGACCATTTTTCTCTGTTACAATATTCGCCCGCCATTCCCGCTCTCTTTTTCCTCGTTTCTCGTCCTATGATTCGCACTTCATACCCTCTGAAGCTTCTTCGTATCTGTGCTGTTTTGCACCAGCTGAAGCGTAGGTAATTGCCATCGACTATTTATCTTAGTTATAATTGTTCTGTCAACTAATACAATACTTGGCATACGCAACAAGAACACAGATAAACGACCGGCGTAAAAAACATAATATCTGTGTGTATGCCCGAACTTGTGCTCGAATATATATACGTGTCCATAACAATAGTACCCATTATTTGTGGTAGTAGTAATGGCAGAACGACTACTGACGCTGGCCAGGCAAAGGCAACTACAGTGTCAGCGGGCAGCCGAAGACAATATTGTTGATCGTGGCAATGATGATGATGATCAGCAGCAGCGATGGGCCAGTAGCCGTGGGTCTGGGTTTCATTCTCCATTCGTTCGTCTTGCGAATGAGCGTAATCGTATCGTACGTGTCCGTCTATGAAATTACTAAAAAGTAAATAATCCTGCCTTTTGATTTGGCCAAAGGCAGATGCGTCGTAGGATTCGATTAGACACACGAACGCAAACAAGGAATATGGTCACGCTACATACAAACCAGTAACTTAAATTAGACGTATACAGTGTGCAAGTTCCCCGACTGGAAAATGCAAATCCTGCCTTCTGGGACACGAACGTACAAACGAAACGTAATCCACGTAATTACCATATCTAACGAAACAGAAAAGAGTCAATGTCTATAAAAACAAACAGGAAACGGGGAAATTGAATGGTTGCACACACAGAGACACAAGCGCAAAAGTAATTATAATCATTTTTCGACTCAGCAATTCTTTCCCCCCTCATGAACGGTGACCTAAGTAGAAGAGAAGTTGGTAGGGTTTCAAGCATCACCGTTAGCAACAATAACATGCATACCTACAGTGTTATTATAGACGTATTTTTACGCTACTTTTCAGCTGCTTTTTCGCCCCGCTCCCCGGCTACCACCCCCATGTCCTGCGCGGTTGAAGACGCTCCATTCTGGAAAAGGTGAACAAGTCCGTCAAAAAGAAGAATCACGAAAAATTCTTACGAAGATTTCGTCCACAAACGAGCAAGTCACATGAAAGCGGGAACAGACCGAGCATCATGGACGAACTTTTCACCATTAGATATTACCTCAAAGTTGTCTTGCTGGAGTTTTCTCTAACAACCTTTAATACGTCGTGTTAACAGTACATCGTAGTAACCATTTGTCAATGGTAGAATTTTAATTAATTATGGCCGCATATTCATGGGTACCGTGAGCGCGCACTCAAAGAGATGCCCCAGAGCAAGCCGTCTCTAGTATGAACAAATACGTTTCATCACTGAACACTTTTAGAATGATTACTCAGGTGAGTCTTTACCAATTCTGTTCGCATCCAAAGTAAAGGGAAAAAGAACCTTCGAAACACGAAAATATGTCCCAATTTGATATTTAGGTCGATTTATCTGTTGTGTGAACCTTTAGCTTTTCATTGAGAAATAAATAGATATATAGTACAAAAAGGTGCACGAGCTGCTGATTCTTAGGTTACCTTAAATCTAACCCTTGAAATGTTTATCTATTACCGGTTAGGTCTTTGGAAATGTTAATCAATTTTTAAACGTTTTGAGTTGAAACTCTTTTATTCACTACCATCGTCATATCGATATGTACGTCTTACCGAATAGATGATATGCAAGGCTGTCTTTGGCCTTGTGACTTTTGTATGAACTATGTGCGAGTCCTCACGCCATCTGTTCATGTAGCGAATGACTTCGCTGTTTGGCCAGACATGTGCTCGTTACGTGCCTGAGACCCAACTTGTCTATCCAGATTACTAACAGGTGTCGCAACTTACGTTTCTATCCCACGGAGTTTGCTCACGGTAGCCAATACGTTAAGCATCAAGCACCATACAGAACACAAGTACGACCAACAGCTTCCACATCATCAAAAAAGTACGCTGACCTCTGCTACTGCTCTTACCATCTTACTTCTATGAGAAGAACTAAGCAAGCAGGCTTTTCGTTTACTTTTTTAAAATTGTCCAGCTGGAAAGGTGCTTGGCCTTGATTGGCCTACAGGCAAGGCTGTAAGGCCATGCCTCCTCTTGAAATTATCTATGTCACTTAGTTATCTTACGTAGCGTGAGATATGAGCAGCTTGTTGAGCTGCAAAAACTTTTAGATGAACAGACCTGAATTGACTGCGAAATTTGCGGATGTTTTGGGATCGAAATGGTCCATTGGAAACAGCGAAACTATGTATATAGACGGAGTAGCAGCAGTACATTTTATAGAGAACTTTAGCAGTTGGGCAGCTTCATCTGGGCGTTACGTCCATCTTATGTGGATCGAGCGTAAGGCTCAGCCTCGCAGATTGCACCAATTCTCGTTGAAACCAGTGTACCAATTTTCAGTCCCTCTTTCAGATCAGCCCAAAGCTTCAATTCACGCTAAATAAAAAAAAATACAGTATTGTTTGTTTTTAGAGTGCCCAAACATTAAATAAAAATAAACGTTGTGCTATTTATACTTTGATATTGTAGATCGTTTAATCGCAACTGTGAGTCAACGTCGACCGTTTGGCTATGCGCGAATATTCTCCTGGTCTGTCTATGAAATAGTCCTATATAGAAAAGGGAACTATATACAGGGGTTCCAATACTCTATGACACTGCATAATATTTGTAACCAACGGAGGCTTCTGTCGTATAGTTTTGAGTTGTACAACGTTCTGCGGCAAGAAATCTTAGAGCCTTAGTTGAACTAAATTACATTATCTGTAATAGCCAAATAATTTGAACGTACTAAAAGATGCCTCAAGTTTTACGTCCAGTACCGTCATTAAGTATTGCTTCAAAGGCCAAACTCGTATTTCTTATTATTGTATGTGGGAGTGATAGAATATATTTCATAATATATTAATTAAGCCAGAGGTGCGGACTTCACGAACCTAGTAGCTCATACTGCGGAAATAGCTATTCGCTATTTCCGGTCGCGCACAGGCCGATCGATGGCCGACTTAACTCTGCGGGATGGGGGTCAGACAGGTCACTGCTGGTAAGAAAAGTCAACATGTGGTACGCTGATGTTTCAAGAATACGACAGGCACTTCAGCATCGGAAAACTGACCGGTCGCCCCCTACATTTGTTTTATTTTACAGTTTATGCTGGGTACTGGTGTAAGGTCATTTTTTTGGTAAGGTCATGGTCAACATCGATATTATAAGGTCTAGCGAATATAGAGTTCAAGGACTAAACAGGCACTTGTAAAATCTGAGCGGGGTATTGTTTGGATGAAATCTGCCTTAAACTAAGACAGCAGTCTAAATGTTGTATGCGAGCTTCAGAGATAACAATCAGTTTATTCAGGAACTGTGGATGTCGCTGATGTTCACCGATGGTAGTGGGACGTTTGCACAATACTATAATAAAGTGATATGCTTTTACAACAGGTATCCGTTTCATCGATGCAGTGGTACGCAATAGAAGATTATGATGACAGCAATAGAAGCTATTCACGACTCTTCAGTCGAGAGTTGGTGTGGCAAACAAAGATGGCCAGAATTTTTAGCCTAAACAGGGCTTTATGTTGTGTATATTCTCTATATAAAATATTCTATATATATATATATATAGAATATTTTGTAATTTATTAAAGCAGAGTGTCGCAGATGGAGTTCCTCACTTGTAAAGTATCTCAATCAGTTCGTAGGCAGACTAATCGCTCGGTTGATAGCCGTAGACAACGGTGTTGCACGATTCGCCGATAGCGCTACAGAAGGTTTCTGTATTATAGAGGGAATTCAACATTAGTTATTTCACAGTAGATAAAGCATATTTGATTGAGGGGTCAGTAGATCGATCACAACATGGTCGTTGGATAGGTCAGTGCTCACTGTGGCTGTTCAATGTCCTGAGCAACCTAAACAGCGTTTCGAGTCCTACGACCATTGCTGCCAGTAAACATTGCTTTAGGCAACAGTCTGCGCATTGCCGTTACTGCCAAGTCAAAGTTCCGAATTTTGCGTCCAGTAGTGGTGTGAAGCATTATTTTAGATTCCTACTGCTAACACATGGCATAAGTGTTGCGCGGTTGCTTATGTCTTCGGCAGAGGTAAATCGAACTCTTGGCCCGGACCCAGCTACCCCTCAGGAGTATCTTCAGTTCTAAACAGAAAAATAGCTCACCCAAATGGATTGCACTCTAGTGGGCTGGGCCCTAACTGAAGCAGAACGCTTGCGATCGCTCCTTGTACATCGGAAATGTTCGGAATAATGGCCTTGGTACCGTTCAACGGACGGTTCATTACCGCCTTTAAATAACAGCAGGTCGGAGGGTTAGTGCTCAATAAGAAAGAGGTCTACGTTGGGATAAGATTACCAAAGTCAACCGACGACATATATACGTTTTCTACCGGCGAGCCCGCACCTGTGTACGATATTTGCGTGTACGTGTCTTCAGTTGACGCAATAGAGATGCACTATTTGATTATTAATGTTTCAAAAAGCATATAGTTAATCATTTTTTTTTTTTTTTTTTCTACAGTTGCATCTTCCCGTCGACTCCGCCAGAAAAGCTTCGCGAAATAGCAAACCCCAGCAACAAAAGACATCAACTCACTAGGTACATGAATAACATGGAAATACTTCGTGTCTCATGAAGTTGCCGCGCGACGACTCTGTAAAACCTGAAAAGATCTGCCTCGGTTAACAGCTCTCAAGATGCTGCGCGACACGGAAACCACAGTCTGAGATGTGAAGAAAAATACAGTCGTAGCCTCGTTGTATTGTATAAGGTTAAGTCTGAAAAACTGTTAGTTTATCAACTGTCAAACCGTTAGGGCCTACTAGTGGGTAGAGCGCGGGCGTAATCAAATGTTTTGGGTGACTTTAGATAGTGGTTGTAAGGCAACTTCATTATAACTGATATATTAATCAACATCACCAGAGGCCGTATCAGCAACATAGGCTGCCGAGAGTGATCCTCATAGCTCAGACGGTGACGAACTCAAGGACCGTTCGATGTTGCGATTATATGATCGGCCACTTACCATCTCTTACCGCAGCAGCAGTGTTTCTGCTGCTCGTAGCAATGACGGTGGCAGTGAAATAGTGTCGTTTGAAACAGACGACTGGATGGTATTTAAGATGGATTGAGTTCGTTAACGATCACAGTTCAGCTCCGTTGGAATCGTATTTTGAGTCAGCCCTAAAGCGTGTTAATCAGTAAGCACTCTGTATGTTTGACATCTCTTCCGTTGATAATAAAACCATGGCGCTTATAAGTATTTTAAGCATCTGTGTTTTATTAGACGTATAACATCTAAATGTCCTTCTACGTCTATTTACTTTTGAAATATAAACACGATTTCTATGTGCACTTAGTACGTGTTTATTACAGTATAACCGCGTTGGAAAAACACGTGTTTTTGTTATCATAATGTGAGATTTATACGGTATTTCAATTAGGATGAACTGATGTCGATTGACTAAGATAAATAGATTAATAATAAGTTATTTCCATATTGGAAATAAAATAGATCATTCCTTTCAGTACAGGTACACACGCAGCTTTGTACAGGGGGCTGCCTTAAAGTAGTCTTAGTATCTGTAAGTGGGTCACCTTCGGATAAACGCATACGGCACTTATCAATGTGAACTTTTATATCGCCGGGTAACTTCTCGTCGCCTAACGGTCTTCAAACTACCGGCGGCTGTTGAGCGAGATGGTGAATGACCTCCAGTCCGATGGTGGTCCTTTGGATTGAAGTCGCCCGTTTAATATTATAGTAAACTATACGGTAGAGAGCTAAGATCGATGAGCTTGGTTAGCAATGATCGTGCGGGTGTGGAAAGCCTGGACAGGATAGCTACCACGATTTCTACTGCCTCTCGCCATTGTTTGAAATCGGCTGAAACTGATTTAAATGCGATGCTATGACTTAAATTGATCCAGGTTCCCGACCACGGCATTGAGCTGAGCAATTCGATTAACGCGCGTTAAGGACGCGGTAGCGCAAAGCGATTTACGATTTTTAGCTGCGTCGTGCCTTCTCGCTGACTCTTCATGATGATACCGTCAAGCCGAGAAGAGAGCTTTGTTGATCATTATTTAGATTTTTCGGTTGGAGCTGCCACCACTATCTATATATATATATATATATATATATATATTTTTTTTTTTTCATCTGAGATACATATATGTATGTACCCCAAATGAAAGCTTAGGGTTAACGTACACATGGGCAAATATGATCGTATACGTTACTCAGCTCAGTTTCAAAGTATGGGGAAGCCGAAATTGGTGCGGATTATATTGAAGAATGTGCGTTATCGATTTAGAAGTCACGTAAAACTAAAAAGACAGGTAGAAAACAGGAGGGCTCAATGTAAAACACGTGGGCAAAAATCAGTTTTCTCGCGCAAATCGCCCGGCTTAAAGCCGGATATTTCTGGGTTACAAGTTGGTTTAAATGCAGAATATTTGTTATACACTTAACCTAAGGGCTTGCAGAATACTTAATTTTGAAATAGGTCAAATATAGAAGGTTGAACACTTGATTTGATCGGCCCTTTTGTACCGACCCAGCGCGGAAATCATAAATGACATCATGCGCTATTTTCTGGATGTCTGACTGAATTGTGTGCAAGCAGATAGATATGGACATCGTTTTTGTACGCATAGACTCTCCTAGTATACTAAATAGGTATTTTCATATGGGCGTATGACCGTATGAGACAGCGGGGGCGGCGTTGGGGTCTCGAAAACAGCGGCATTTGGAGATGGGTGGCTATGTTTTGATCTACATGGATCCGGGCCATGTCGTCGTTTGCCTGGGCGAATTCACTATAGCACTACTATTATTATTATTAACCACATTATTACACACATTCCTACGCAATGAGTGCCATCCTGCCTCACGATGACTTCTACTGATACGCTGCATTTGTCCATGTGACACGCCCTGGGGGTAGCCATTCCAGATATACAGTGGGTGCAATACGATATCTGATCTCTTACTGAACACTTAGTGCCACCCTATACAGGCATGCGATGCACACTTGGTGCTCCAAGGCATACACGATGCATATCGCCGTAATGAAGAGTATACTCTTTTAAAGACTCCTTTTATTCAAATCATACTGTATACATACATGATCGTCTTACCCATGACTGACGCTTGTTGAGATGTCTAGCCACGCCATCTAGGTACTATTCAGTAAAGAAAAAAACAGCTCACGGCACCCTACTCGCCTGTTGATCTGCGCTCTGTAAGCCAAACTTCGCGCAGAGAGTTCGAGAATGCGCTTTGTATTTAGGAAAAGTTTTGAAAAGGTTGATTTTCACACGTGTTTCATTGGAAAACGAGGGTGAAGTGCTAAATGGCATGCATCGTACTTTCTGCTAGGAACGTGCTCTGTTATAAGTACCATTAAATGGTACCGAAATAGCAGTAGAAGGCTTTCGAGGACCAAGCTATGAGGGAATCCTAAGTGTATAAGTGATAGCAGCGGTTTTGCGACTGACGATACAGCCTCGGAGAAGGTTCTTGACTGAAAAAGGGCGTTCTGTCGTGGCAGGTACAAATGAGATAATAGAAACAAAATAATTCCTACCCGAGGATGATCGAGTTCTTCCGAAAACCTATATATCTCACGTCAATATAGCCAATTAAAATCCAAGAAAACACCGAGAGCAAGATCAAGCTACGATTTTGAAACCTGTTGAAAGAAATTGATATGCACATGCATAAATCCAATGGGGGATCATTTCAACATTGGGACAACTAAGCTACATGCGGTTGCTACAATGTCGAACTTTTCGATATATTAAGACATACCTTTTCGTGTAACATGGTATGACAATCCAGTCCCGTTGCTTCCTATTAGACTGATATAATAGTCGCCATAGTAAAATAAGGCCCAACTTACCTTATCGAGCTTATATAACAAAAATAGATGTTTATTACTCTGTACCATAGCCTAAGCTTCGGTTTTCCTATGAGTTCCGTCATAATGATTGCTGATATCATCAGCAGTAGCATTACGAATACCGTTCGATTATCATTCGTATATATGAAGCGGCCGAGGCAAACAACGCGGTTTGCTTAACTAACTGACTCCTTATCCCCCTGTGCCCTCCATCAGCGCTTCCTAATAGTAACGCTTGTTGAGTTGATGTCGTGATTGCAGCGCTCGCTCGCTCGCTCGCTCACACGCATCGCATGCGAAGATCGTTTGCTTTAAGGGAGCTGAACATGAGAATGGAGGGGGTACGAACCGAAAACTTCAACCGAGTCTTTCACTATCATCATCTGGGTGAAAAGGGAGATAAAACGGCAGTAGAACACCTTCGAAAGGTGTTCGCCACCTGATGATGGTTTTAGCTGATGGTCGGTGGTCGCCGGCCGCAGCCAGCAGTTGAGGTTGCAGTTGCCGCAAACATCGACGCGACGGACTACGACGACCATGAAGAAGGCTACTACCGTCATTGCCGCCGCCATCGCCGCTGCTGTTGTTGCTACTCGTTGACGACGACGACAGCAACAACGATGGCGACGACGATGAGGCAAAGCGGACAACAAAATAAAAGATAAGGTTAAGGTGATAAAGAAGATTAGTTGCTTAGTGAATTTTATTGAGTATGGCACCATGAAGGCGCCAAGTGTCGTCTGCCGAGCGGGCGGCCCGGTCGTCGTCGTCGTCGCCACCGCCGCCGCCGCCGCCGCCGCTGCTACTGCGGCGACGATCACCGGCGTCACATGGCCCACAGCAACGTCCCAGCAACGGTCACAGGCAACAGTTAGGGTACGGCCTCTCTGAAGCTGGGGCCAAAGTGCGAATGGTCGTTGAGATGTGAATGATGATGATGCTGACTTCGACCACAAAATGATGAAAATGATCCAGCACGTCAGTCGTGCTGCAAATTTTCCGTCGTTGCAAATACGAAGCAATGTTGCAGAACTAGAAAATGATGAAAATTGCTCTGGCACTAAGTTGTTCTCTTGCAAATTTATGACCGCCATCGTATTGCTCATTATTATTCCTGTTCAATATGAGTTGGCTAAAAGGAATATATACATGGAAATATATCTACACTTCCGAATCAATTTGCAATTTATTTAACGATGGGCAGATAGGGAAGCGAAGTTTGTTAAAAATGTAGGTGTTTGCGTGATTGTTCTAGAAGAAATAACTATCTAAAATGGAGTACCTTAGAAATTAAAGTTAAAAGCTTCCGTTTTGCTCGTGTGACCGGCCGATTTTCTCGAAAGTCGTCCAGATCTGGAAAAGAAAAATCACAGGAAAAAGTTCCGAGTTTCTATACAGATTGTACTATTTGTAACGTATGAGCTTTAATACCCTATATATGCACACCTAGTTCAAATGTCGTCGTTCAAATTGCGTCGCTAAAATGATTGTTACAAAGCATTGTGCCATCACCAAATGATTGTGACTGCCACAAGGAAAACGTGCTAATAACTGCAAAAAAGGCATGCTTACCACGCGGTAGCAATGTCGTTTCGTGGGCCTATTGAGCCCAATCTGGGGTATTTCTCTTCAGTAGGGAGCGTCATGCTATTATGATTAGCATCTTCATCAACTTAAATTGAGACCAACGTAACCCTATTCGTAAATATCGATTGACCGTTGTAAATTGTGACATGCATACGCTCTGTTATTGTCACTGTTTTATATTTGAGGAGCTCATGAACGGGCGGACGGCGCAGGACATCAGTATAAGCAGAACAACTCTAACAGTAATTGGCGACCCGCGGCGGGCAGCAGTTACACGTTTTCTGAAGTTAACTCCTCCCTTCACTTCGCCTTCCCCCAAAGTCGCCACTGGCACTCACTAATCAACGAAAACTGATACTGCACCACGACGAGCACCAAAAGTAGTATTTCTCCGGAACGGATGCCAGAGAAGTACTAGTTCCTTGTCATGTATATTCGCCACCGTAGACTACATCGGGCCCGATAAGTTAGCGACGACCGGGCATACGCGCACTGAGAGCCTGAAGGCAGATATATGTCCCTTGCGCCGTTCTCGTTTGCAGCTAGTGAGACAAACAGATAGCCATATATGCGATATCACCATCACATTGTTATGTCAACAGTTGTAAATAAAAGACAAAAACAAAGAAAAAAAAAGGGAGAAGAGGGGTAGAAAAAAAATATCATCGACAGAACCGAACGGCGCAAGAAAGAAGGCCAAATGAAAGTTTAGGAATAGCTGGCAACTGACGTAGATAACAGACAATGTTTAGTCTATACGTACATAGGCGTTACACATGGGCGCCGTGATACAGAACAACGGAAGCTGCTCTCCCAACTATCTTGCGCATTCGATGACGATACAGTCGTTCCTGCAGGTTCGCTGTCTAACTAGAGCCTGTTCCTGCTCTAAGATACCTGAAGGCATTCTCTACGTATGGAAGACAACGATAACCCTACACGTGAACGGCGGCATGCGCAGACATCTCATACGTACATACACTAAAGAGAACAATGATAATTTAGGTTTCATGTGATAGACAGCAACTTCGCCTATCGATCCACGAGAACAAAGGTTTAAATGAAGAATGAGAAGGAAATACATGCGAGTTGGTACAGAAAGTCTCAAACGAGTCTCGTACCGAAAAGAGAACGATTTCTTTATCTTTAAATCTAAACAAATCGTGGCATCGCATACGATACAACGACTCGTTGACCCAAGTCAAAGTAGGGATATGATGCTTGACTTCGTGAAGGCAAACAATAGGTATAAATGATGAACAAATGCTAAATAAACGCGATGCGTCCCGGTAGCGCAGGTGACAAATGTTACTTTGTACTTTTATTCCCATACAATAGCCTAGTTGTTTACAGGCGGCTTACGAAATAGTTCTTAAAATTGAAGCTGTATCACCACAATTAAGAAAGCATTATGCGGTAAAGATGAACAGTATATTCGAAGCTGAAAAAAAAAACAAGCCATCGGAAACAGTACCTGCTCGGATCTTTTAGAACTTATCGAAATTTTGTCTATTATCTACCTGTATATTCTATACCTTTTACACCTTGAAATTCAAACGTCAAAAATCTTCGTGATCAGACCCTCGTTCAGATCATATTAACTTGTGGTTTAATAAGGAGCTGTATCAACGTGTCGTTCTCTCTAGGTAAAACGAATATGATCTAACTTAATTGACTAGATCAAGGAAGAAGAAAGTACGGTTTACTCAACAGATAATCTCTATTGAAACCCGGAGCCTGTCGGTCGTTAGGTAATGATATGGACTTGTGGTGAAGTCCAGGCTGACTATGCAGCGTCTTCGAAAGATTTCACTCTATGCCATTGTCTCGGCACGTAACATGATGCTTTACAGATTTATATACGTTTGATATACCTTTACAGATTGTGGCCCCATCTTTTGTGCCACATTTTTCGATTTTCATCATAAATTTAGATTCATTTGCTTTAACCTATATATATATATAACCTATAACTAAAGTTTCTATGTAGAAGTACAGTTAGAAACAAAGCTATGGAAGAAAACTGAGCAAATCATTGTTTATTTGGTAAAGTTAACATACAAATTGGAGTTGATGTAGAGCTGATTCATTACTTTTCATACTTATTAACATGGAGCGGTGCGAAACGTTCAATAATTATTAGAGATATAGTGTTAAATTACTATTCAATAATAGGCTTTACACATTAAGCTAAGTAACCTTATGAAAAACCTTTCTATATTATATTTTTAAAGCATCTGTTTTTATGACTTCGGTCGAGGTAGAGCTAATTCAACAACATCATACATATATGTATGTTGAAGCGACCCAACACTGACGCTGAACGTGCTGCTCTCTTCAACCATAAAAGTTAACTGTCGAATAGGTCTCAATCATCATTTGGCTGTTTTAAGACGACATGCCGCTTTGCGAACTTGCGTGTAGTATAGATATTTATCAGCCCAAATAACTAAAAAAAAATACATGATCTGCATAGGTGAATGGTCCGTAGCGTCACACGCAATGCGATCGGTCGCGCTGGACAGGGTCTGATTTATCTTGTTCTTCATGATGAAACCCCTGTGCTCGGTAAGATGTTGGGCGGATATTGTACTACGTACGAAAGAAACATTACGGCCGTAGAAGCAGGCAGTAAGAACGTACCATAATACTTAGCATATATCATTGATACTGCTAGGGCAATAGTTTATCACGAATTGCCAAGAAAAACAAATAGTTAGCCAGGCAGGAAAGTTGTGTGCTCCCTGCGAAGGCAGGTAATTTCGGTTAGAAAAAAGATTATGTGAAGGTTGAGGATGATTGGGGAAGCATCAGAGACGCGTCGCTATCGTTACGATAACATCAAGCATTTACCGACTAAACCTCTGTGATACATAATGAACTTAATTTAAAACAATTGTGTCTACCGAGCTTGAGCTATGCATAGGGTTCGTACTAACGTGCACGTCTTCGAAGAGGGGGTATGGGTGTGCGAGACCACTCTTTAAGGACATAACATCTGTTACGTTGAACAGTTTTTAATCTCTCAATATCTATAGATCTATAGTACCGTCGAAACTGTTTCGTACAGCTTCTCAATTTTCTGTTCTACTCCGCATGAGTTTGTGGTGTTCATGCTTGGCGTCCGCGTATACTGTGGCAAAGGACAGTGACTGTCGTCGGTCAGCGTCTATATACGCCGCGCAGTCGCCATGTCAACGGAAGCAAGCAAAACCAATAGAGGCAGTGTTGTTAGCACACGATAGAGATAAAAAAAACGAATCAGAACAAGCGAAAGAGGCAAGAAAGAGAGGGCAACGAAGAAAGACCGAGCGAAATTTATAGACCAGCTTCACGCGTTCACCTGAATGCTTTTTTAATGCAGCGCTAACCGCCCGTTTGAAAAATCGATCGAGATAAGAGTTCACTAAGTAACTTGACAAGAGTTAGAGAAGAAGGTAAAGAACGATATTGGCCACGATTGACTCAATTCAATACATCGTTCCTCTGTCAACAGGCCAATCATGGTTTCGCTACTTAAGGGTCATGGTGGATGGTAGGACCTTTTTTTCCTGATCATGTATGTACTCAAATGGTCGTGAACGTAGCTGCGCCCCATATGTCTACTGCTGTCGTTCCAATCAAGTCCTTTGTGATAGCTTCACCTCGTGGCGGTTTATTTTTTAACTACCTAGTATATATATATATCGTGTGATTTAGTAATCGTATGCGCACCGGTTCATCTTGGCCGTCGTGCCTCGATCAGGCGAAGCCTCGTTTTCAGCGTAGTCGCTTCGGCAGTAGTGGCAGGTTCATCCGCGTCTCCGATCCTAACTATTTGCGATGTCGATGTTGTTCGTGATGATATTGCTTTTGGAGCTGCTGAAGCTGGTTGGTTGTCGTTCTTGCTGCTTCTGCTGATGATAACACTTAATAAACATTTCAACGCCACAGCTGATAAAGTGGGAAAGGGATCGGATAAACAGAGCGACTATACCTGATAACAAAGGGCCGACTGCGTCCTTCGGCTGTGCCGTTCAATACTGCAAAACAAAAACACGATGTCTTTCGTTCTGCGAAGTGGAACTGCTAGTCCAATAGCAACATCGTACATGGTAGATTGCGCACCACAGGGCGAGCAGCGTATTATGCTATCATCTATGGCGCTCTGTGACAATTTCCTTCAGCAGCCCGTGGACCACAGCGACCTACAACAGCGGTTAGCCTGTTCTCAAGCGACGAAGTCGCGGCTCTTTGGTCTTTCGGAAGGTTTTTTGAAGAGACCAGAGACGAAAACGACGAAGAATGAAAGATGAAGCGCCAACAACGACGGTAGCAGCTGCAGATGAGTGTCATTAGGAAATAGCATAATTACATCTTTATCCTCTCTCCGTTGCTGCTGCTGCTTCTTCTTCTTCTGCTGGCTACGAGGGACCTGATAAGAAGTGATTTAAAACTGATGTAATCAAGAAAAAAAAGCGGGTCGATACCCAAAGCATATGTTGTAGCAGTTTTATCTTATTTGCTTTGCAACGAAAAAGGGGGAATAACAAACACTGGGTTCAAATACGATAGGCACTGCGGACACGAACCCAAAGAGGCTTCTGCCAATTCTCTCATAGCGAAGGCGATGAACACAGCTGTTAACGAAAAAGACGAAACATTGATCCCGAACGCAATAAAAGTGGCCAATGGAGGGCGTTCACGTTGCGGCAAGAACCAACCTATCGATCAGTTAACCACTATCGTATGAAGCTCAGTTTTTTTTTATAGACTAAAATGACCTTGCACTTCGTTTGTCACAGATACTATTTGATGCGATACAATGAGACAGATTGCAGTCGTAGAACTGTTTCGCGAAGGTAATTCGCTATTAGTCGAATTGCACAGATGCCCCTTCGGTCGCAGGTATGCATAAAAAACGTGGCCTGTATCAGCCGTAGAATGCGGAAGAAATGTTTTTACCGCCGCAATAGAGGAATAGCGTAGATGCGCTAAAAAGCTTCCTTTAAAGTATAATACCAAGTCCCCGTTTGTCTTAGTTTACTTTTCGTACATCTTACGGTCGGGGTTGGGTAGAGGTGCGCTAATGATTCGACCTAAACAGGTCTACATTTCGTTTACTCAGGACAAAAACATTGCAAGTTTCAAATAAAGCCTGTGCAAAAAATTACTTTTTCATTTGATCCTGTATTGCAGCATGTGCAATCACGCTGTCAGTATTTATGTACTATTTGTGAAGATAATCATCTTGTCCTTATATATATATATATGATATTTTTTATCTTTTTATATATTTATTTAGATTGCATTTTCAGGATATAATCGTGCCTAAATATAAATATAAATTTTGTCCAGAGCAATGCGCAACGACTCGAATTAACACAAACGAGCCGATCGAATTTTTGCTTTTTGCACGAGATTCGTGAACAACTGGCGAGTAAAGAAGGCTCTCGCAATAACTTCAACTTCTCAATGCGAAGCACTGCCAGTCTCGTTTGTCATCGAGCTGGGCTCAGCGTTTTTAGTTGCCTACCTGCATATGTTCTACAGGGGGCTTTGTGCAATGTGTTAACTGAAGGTCAACTTCTAAGTCGGTTCACTGACATCTAGCAGTAAATCCAATTACATTAGATTTGTTTACGAGACAGAAATTTCATCCAACTGTATTAATGTTTATCATGTGCGTGCACGATTCATCCGCTGGTAGCATTCGGACCCAGATACGGGCCTGACAATCATGATCCTTCGAAAATTGTTTCTAGTTGGATAACGGAGAGCTATATTTGCAAGCGCCACCTATGTTGCTGTTGTAGTTTGATTTTTGCATGAATTTTTCGTATCTTGTTGCTCACATCTGTCAAGCTCAATCTACCAGCATCGTCCAAAATCGGAGCTCGATCCATGATTATGGTTATGAGACGCATTCAGGGTTAGTGCGACGAGGCGTAGAATGAACGAGGACGCTGTAATTGTAAGACGCCGGATCAATGCGTAAGCGATCTTTGTCGAAGTTCAGCGTGGAAGCTAGCTGCGTATACGTAAAAATTAAGTAATACTCACGGGTGTCTACGTCCGAGTCCACAGAATAGCCTCGTATTACCATTGCCGTTACCACGGCTACATACGTAACGGAAAGTAAGATAACTAAGGTTCCGTTCGACAATTCGGTATCGGCTTGCCAATTAACGCCAATCGGCTCATCAGAAAGTTTTCGATTTTAGTGGGGGCTTGAAACTTTGACTTGGTATATATATTCAGCGATCTGATGCCTGTCCGGAGAAAAAATTCGCTCTGATAAAAATGCGTCGCTGTGCTTCCTATCGAGCTTCATCTTCTCTCATACATTTTTGCTATAGTCTTCTTATACTTCACTGCAGCTGATTGCCGTTGCTCTTTCTTGACGAGCGCATAACGACCGATCTAAAGAGGTAAACGAATTGGTTTACGTGTCCGTATTCAAATAAACGATGCGTGTGCGCAGATTTGCAAAGTCACTCGACCGACTGGGGGATATATGAATCCTAATACGGCAACAGTAACAGCGCCAAGATTGCGGGATGAAACGCCTCTGAGTCTCCTAGTGCTGTTGTTGTTACCGCCAGCGACGAGCGAAGCGATGTTATGGAACGCCCTAAACTTCTGCTAATAATAAAGTCTTCCTGCTGAATGAACGGTTGAGTGCGCGTCGGTCTCATCAACCCATTTACCATTCATGGGCCAGCCGTTCGTCGTAAATAATCCGTGTGTGTTGTAATATAGGTTAAAAAAACGTGGCAAAAAGAAAGTTCGTCAGTACATGCCAAACATGGGCGATGTCTAATTAAAGATCAGGAAAACATTTGCAGTACGGTGAGTTGCGCAAGGATACACTTGTGCACTCGTTAACCGAACAAAATCGTAAATATACAGATCCGAGTAGGCAACACTGACAATTTGCTTAATGCAATTAAAAAAAAAATGACCACCAATTTTTTTTTCTATTTTGTTGTATCTTTAAATTGCCATTCTGCATACTCGCACGGTAGGACACATATAGCATGACCTGATACCTACTGACTTGTTCACTGTTACTGTTGTCCAACCTGTCTTGCTATTATTGTTGCAATAAGAACTTAAGGGAATGATGCTTTTCTGTGCAGTCGTAGGGCTGTGTTATTAAAGCAATGCTATCTGGAGCATCTTGAACCTAGATAGATTTTCAGTAGCTAAAACACTTAGCATTCGATCGGCTTGGCCAGATGCACCAAGTGAAACTTATTGACGCAGCAATGCAGGTAAAACTTAACAAGGTTTATATGACGGCTTGTAGAGAGTTGCAGTAACGAGCAGATCCTCTAATGATCACAGCAGCAGCGTAAGGCGACGGGGTCTTGCCACAAAGGCAGACCTCCTTCGAGTCGCCTCTGAATGCCACGAGCAGTCATGTAAAGATTCAGCAAAATGTTTAAACGCTTTTCTTCGTGAGTGCCTCGACTTACGACAGTTCAAAGGCTCCGGTTCGACAGATCGATTGACGGTGGCTAGTTACCTAACATAACATCAGATATCACTTATGATGACTTGAAATGCTTCAGATGCTGATGATGGGCCTCGAGATGCATCAGCAGAACCTCAAACAGTTATCGGCAAGACATTTACAACCAGCCTGTGCCGTTCTTAGCCCTGCCGACCATCAACACCCCATTCAGCCTTCGAGATAGGATATATACCACTACTGACATTGACTCAATTGCGCCAATATAGATACGCTCAACAACTGCCACAACTTATAAACGTATACCGGTATATTAATAGGCAGAAAGTAAAAGATAAGGGCGATAATAAGTTTTTTGTTTTTATGCCAAGTCGTCATAGATTCGGACACAGAGTAGCCAGTTGTTTTAACCGCTTCGGTTTTCTGCACAGGTTGAGGTGAACGTATGGCGTTGCTACATGTCGATTGGCTATATAATTGTTGTATTTAGTTATATACGCACATAGAAATAGATAAGTTGTAAACCTTACCGCATAGCAAGGAATCGAACGTTACTTTGTGATTCTGAACAAAATCCGTATGGCGGCGTCTAGAGTAGTCCGCTATCAAGTTCGCCTTTGTCGGTTATCCTAGCTGTTTAGCGATAATTATTGTGCTATCCATTAAGATAACGGTAACGATGTGATGACCCATAAAGAGAAATTTGGGGGTTTAGATATTTAAAATAGATAGGTTTTTTTTTTTTTTTTTTTAAATACATACAGGTACGAATGTATCTCGTTTTACGGAGGCCAATACAGACAGGCTAGCCAAAATTAAATTAGAATAGGATTTAATGGAGGATATTTGACTTTAAATTCAAACAATTATGATAATGTGGTTTCCGTTTGTTGTTTGGCTTAAGCTTATCCAATTGATGTCAGAACGCACTACATAGTGTTTTAGTATAGACTAGTATAAATAGGTCTTCATCGGGAATCGGTGCAGAGAGGTTTCTGATTAGCTGACAAAAAAATAGCGGACGCAACTTACCTCCCAAACACCGATGCGGAAGCTTACATGAAGAACAGTCTCATACATCGCACCAACGTGGGTTTTGTCGTGCTGGAAGGTGAGTACGCTTCTTCAATCTGACATATCGCTATTAACATAGATCTAGTGAAACGAACAGTGGAAGAAAATTTGACTTAGGAATTAGCACAGAGTGTGTATTGTGATACCAAAAAATATATTGTAAAATATTCATTATGTACAAGTATGTAATAAATGCTGTTTCGCAGAAAAGCAACGATCGCGTGAAACGGATCCCACAAAGGAGCGTGGCAATTTTACGGCGCTCGTCGATGATTGAGCGGGCATAGTGGCTTTGTTTTTGTTTGGCCTCAGAAAGAAGTAAAAATGTCTAATACGACTTTTATGATTGGCGGCCAATCGGTGATTGGACGAGGAACTCCAAGCAAGCCGTGTAGGCAGGTACAATGATTGACTGATTATCGGCTCGTCTCTACAAAGTGAGAAAAAATTAACTATCAGAGCTCGTGGCTAGGGGAAACCGCATCGACGCGGAAAGATCAGATCAACTTACTAGAAACATCGTTGACCGAGAAAGTCGACCTTTACGAAATTAGATTTATTCGAAGTAAACTTAACAACCTCTTTAATTCACGTTCATTGATGCCTTACTTAATAGAACTAAAGCAATCGTCTTGCTACAAGCACATTGTTCATTGATCTAGCAGAACTACTCGCTGCATTAGAAAATGCCATGAAAACCTGCGAAGCGATCAGGATGAGAACAGTTTGGCTTAAATTTGAAAATTCAGCTCCTGCAATCGTACAGCGTATGCTTAGCTGCTCCTGTGTTATTAAAGCAGACGATGATAGATCGGTCATCGACTTTCCAGAATATCGTTCACGCTTAGCCCAAAACATCACTTGAGCACAAGAGAAAAATCCGAGCATGTTTACAAAGAAGAACATTGATGATCGAGCAAACTTATTTCATACAGAATACGACCCGTTCCAAGACATGAAGATCCAATCCTTTTTAAGATCAATGGCATGTGCTTCATACGGAAATAAAAATTGTTTATTATTTGCGAATACTCTATAACGGCATACAGGCGTAAGAAGCCGTTAGCTGTTGAAGAGTGTAAGTAGCTGGTAGAAGAATGGATCGAAGTTTTCTTCGAACGGCTCCTCTCGAACAAGTAGACCAGTGTGTGACACCCTTGCGTTACATAATGTAGCCTAAACGTATATAATAGAGACCGTCATGTTTTATGTCTCTGCACCAATAACTTTATGTTATCGCACGCAGCTTTTGTGAGGATGGTAAGTTGAAATCGGCAAATGATTTGAGAGATACTGTTGAATCTGAGGATACGGAAATTCTTTATACCCAGTTTTCCCACTCAAATAGTCCCGATAGATTGAACTGATGTAAACTGTCTCTCATTTGAGACCCTGAAGTCTTTGAGGAGAGTTCTCAAACTAGGATTGACGCAAGTCAGCAGTCTTGATTACACCTATAGTTATGCCAGAGACTTTCCAGATAGTACTTCCGTTACGTACGAACACCTATACCCTACATCCAGAAATAAATTTTTCCGAAGGCGAGCGTTCGCCAAAGCCTAAGGCTTTGCTGGTCCAAATGCCTATAGGGACGACTAAGAGGCGATGTCTTTGCAAGCCACCAACCCTTAGTTAGTTGTACGACGGTGGTTGCGGCGATCGCACGGCCGTATTGAGTAATGTAACTGTTTGTAGGTCCAAGCAGACCAATGGAGCTCTAATCTTGGGTATCCATCCCAAAAAAGCCTCAAAAAACTTTAGTTTAAATAGCAAGCCTCATAAGCAGCAGGTCCATTTAGATGCTGGCGGCAGATCATCATTCAAGGTCTCAGATTAGAGCAGATTCAGAGCGATATCTCGTGGTGTTAATTTCCAGGATGCCCTTAGTTTGGTTGCCAGCTTACTTTTTCAGAACCGCACAAAGTTTCTCGGCGACGGGAAACCTATAGCCACAGGCAGAGAAACGGGGGTTCTTTTCGGTTGCAAAGAAGGTAAAAGAGTGCTGAAAGCATTTGGCGTGGAGATCGAAAGTATTAGACTTCACAGAAACAACCGAGAAGGAAAAGGTCCTATTAATTGCCGACACAGGTGGTGTCAGAAAAAGTCCACCACTGCATCGGACTTACGAGATGTGTAATCAAAAACGTGGATAGCAAGCGCAAATACACAGAATCGTTGAGAAATATTTTGTATCGACGTGCTTATTTACTGTCGAACATCACCGAGATTTTTCTACATTCGAAAGAGTCGAACATTGAGAAGGCTCTTCCCTAGTGTCAGCCTAGATAATCAGACATTCCCTATTTTTTCATTTCTGGTTATTTCAATGCCATAGGCTGTATCAAAAAAATGGGTTGATCGGTTGGACCTCGGTCTGACTTGCAACTCGTCTTTATCCCAATCGCATAGATACTAAACCCATCTGGAGAGCAGTGAGCTTTTGAAGGCACCATTTTGAAACAGACAGCATTATCCCAGAAATAAACCCAATCAATCTCACAGAAGCAGGTCGAATATTTTAGTGGTAGCAAAGCAACTTCAGCACTTCTGCAATGCGAGTTTGACCGCTTAGGGACGAGCAATGGCATATATGCGTGCAGTGCCGGGAGATAATGTACCGATGATTTCGATCCTATTCGTCAAGGTCAAAATAGCGCTGTTAAAAGCTGGCAATGAAACAGCGGTCCCCTTGAGATGATAGCGGCCATCTTCTTCTCATCATGAGTAAATCACTGTTAGTTGTTTACAAAATGACATATTGCTGTGGCTGCCTACGAGTTCGAGGCTAGATTCGAGGCGATTCATCAGACTAACGGAAGTCGTTCGTCGGAAATAGAACTAGTGAGGTCCGACAAGCATCGTCTTGCTGGATTTAGTGTAATATTATTTCAAGTGAAAATTATGCAGTTTCAACAGAGGCACCGCATCGTAGCAAGAAGAGACTAACTGGTACGCCCGCTACAAGTGGGTGCAGTAAGCGGGTCAGCAAACTATTTCCCTTGAACCAGACTCGCCAATCAGTAGTATATCTTGTGCGCCGTATTGATTGACCGCAAGCGAAGCAGAGCTGTGTGTTTATTAAGAACGCATACGAACTTTCAAAGACGACTAACTAACTAACATCCTAACTGACGGCATCAAACTCTTTGCAAAAAAAAGGAGAACGATTACCCAAACAAATAACGTATTTGTTAAGGGCGACCTCTCGTGTCTAAAATGTGTATTATCAGTTTCCCTTGATACTTAGAGAAGCTCGAGTTTTTTTCGAGGCATGAAAATGCTACGCCGCCTATGTGCATGTAAACAAATACCTTGAGGCGTATTGTTGGTACTCATCATTCTTGTAGAATAATTAAAAAGTTGTTCTACAGTACCAAGATGGCTATGGAGGAATTTCAGACCTATACACAAGTTTACCTCACATTAAAAAGCTGAACAAGACAATGACGAAAAGCCACATCACACTGTTAATTTGTGCTTTCTTTTCGATTATCCATCTAGAATTGGTTCTATGCTTAAGCACTCTCAGATTTCTCGTGGCTTTACAGGGATTTTCTGAACAGATCTTCCCGGTGTAACTCGCTTTGTGCGTTACAACGAGTTGGTCTTCTAATGGGTGGTAAAAGAACTATAGTTGGTGCTCTAAATCAAAAGGAATTTAAGTAGAAAAAGGAAGGAAGCGTAGGAGAAGTTAGCCAAAACTGACATAACTTGAGAGCTTATTACGGAGAAAAACACGTGGGTCAGAAAGCTTTGCAAGAGAACTGTTTCACACAGTCAAGTGCCCCCTGTCTTAAATGCAGAGCTAAAACTTTAAAGAACCGTTGGTTACATAAAAGACGTCGATCGATGGCGTTAGAATTTTTTATAGTGCAAAATATCTATTATAGGGTTATAGCAATAAGCAGTAAGTAAAGTTTAGCAATTTCGGGTTACTGAATAAACTGGGTTAACCTGATTATTTTACTTTACTATTGTATCCGTTTTCAGGGGAAGCAAGAACAGACCTTCGATGCTGGCCAAATTAGAACCTGATAATGTTTTAAAACACTCCATCTATCCTCCACGCAATCAAGTATTATCATTAGATAATGGGTTTCTTCATTGGTTCACCTTGCCGATCAAACAGGTTACAGAAATGATCATCAGCAACCGTTACAGCGTTCTCTAAGTTTGCAGACGCTCATCTAGCCGCTTGCTTTTTATTTCCAAATAAAATACGGATCATATATTACGACAAGTGTAATTCGTTTTAAACGATAAATAGTTAATAGAGACTGTTTAATAGGGAAGTTGCTATCGCTACAAAGAATCCTTGTTATTAGGCACGACCATCACAGTAACTCTGTTGTGGCCATCTACACTCGAAGTAACATAGTAGGTTCGCATCTATTGAACTTAGTTCATCGTAGTTTCTGGTAAACGGTAGATTCAGTCACAGGATCTTCCCGAGTTTCGAGGCGGCCACGGTGATAATGTCATCTTTGGCTCGGTGGCCAGTCGGGCACGTTATCGTAGCAGCTTTCTGCTGACACTATCTATACTTTCGTCTTCCTTGCCTGGACTTGATGCACACACACACATACATACATATATTCACTCCGCCCCCTCATGCGAAATCCATCTGGCGTCGCGCCTACGCCGTTGAACAGCCACGACCAAAAAAATCCTTTGCAGCACCACACTATATATATAATACATATAGTATTCGTAGCATGTAAAATCGCCATATCGGTTTAACTTAAACAACTGGATCTGGATCTGCCTCGTCTTCGCGGCTAAACTGGCAGCCTCGATCTGCGGCGATAGATAGCAGCTAATCGTTGTCATACGTGGTCGGAATCAAACTGTCGAGAAGGATACGTATATAACAGTATGTTATTGCAGACGACTTTTCCTAGCAATAATCTTAGTTGTTTGAGGTTGTTGTCATAATTGTTGTCGCCATCACTACCGTTCTTGGCTGCCATTGTCCAGTTGTTGGACGGTGACATCTACGGAACATTAAAGAGATTCAGATATCAAAAACAGACAAGCGAGAAGAACCGCCCTGAGTTAATCGACATAGAGAGTTGATAGACCATTAGGTTACAAAGGTGGCCATACGCCTGTCGATCGATTCTACGGCGATTGACATTTGCTCGGTAAAGCTTCATCGTTCATTTGATCGTTATTTCACTTTCTTTATCTTATTTGGCCTTATTTATTTAATTCGCCTTTAAGTCATGTTTGCAATACGACCACACATTCAAGCACTCGAGTGAAGGTAGCATATGAATAGGATCATATAATCCAGTGGACAATCTTCCCCGACTGTGTATGCCCCATTGCCGTATAGTATGTTCAAGAAGTCTGAACAGAAACAATAATCGGACGTCTGTCGCGTTTGTCTGCCTGTCAGAGAACGAACGGAGAAACACCTCACCAAGTTGAGGTCAGAACTTCATGCTGCTCGATGAGAGAATGTTAAGTATTCGAAACCCGTCTTGAATAACATTTACCGATCTAAATTGAGTGGAATGGTAAACAGCTAACGATAGGAGACACACGTATATGCTCCTAATGATCTTAGACGACAAATATACAACAATGATCTAGGTAGATATGCATTTGCAATCGATCAATCAATTAATTAATTAAATGAATGCTAATCAATCTATGCGGTTTACTAAATTAAAATAACTTATTGAGGTTACTTATTTCATGTAAAGGTATAAGCCTTTCTCAAGCTCTCGCACAACTTTATACAATATGCAAATCAGTACAGAAATTAGCGGAACTATCCGGAAGTAGCTGTGCGAGTATGCGTAATAAACCTTTTTCCGGGAAGGCCTATCTGCTAGCAAACGCCGAACGCAAAAAAAAACTTTCCCCTATGGACAGCGGCAGTGGCACAATAACTTAGGAAAGTAATGACAAATGATGATCAACTAAGCAGGAGAAGAAAGAGATGGGCTATAACGATGGGCAGAAATGCGTTACAGCAGCACCATAAGATCGTCGAATCATTGCGTTTCCCTTGGATTTACCGTGGAGAAATTAAATGCAAATTAGCTACATCAAACAACAGTCAGCCTAGACGCTTTTGCAGCCTGTTTGCTTTCCATGGATGGTTCTGTAGGCGTTGGTATATAACAGATGCTCAGAGCCCATCAGTTCCCTGGCCTGACAGCCACTGCGACATTTAAGCAGATCTAGGAGGATTAAGTGATCGTAGATGAAGTCCAGAAAGAGGACAATAAAGATTAGTGATATACTCCGGATTAGACACAAGCGGGTGTATGTAGCCTTTGTCTTCCTGCGTACGTCCCTCAGTTCCAGAGACTCGTCTTCTCGAAGATGGACCGCTTGGTGTGATCTTTTTCCAGTAAGTCCCAATATGATAGAAGGCTGATAGCGATAACCGGTAGTGACGACGAGCTCGAGATTGTCCAAACAAATCTAAAAAGGAAAAGAATTGCTGGCTGATCTTTAACTGGTACGCCAATAGAAATAAAACGACCGAATCGAAGCTACGAAAGGCAAACGTTAACAGCAAAGTGTGGGCAGGGCCGCAGCATTCATGTGTTGTTTAGTGGTTGCCAGTAAGCAGACGAAATATCTGAAAACTATAGCGGATAAAGGCCTTGAAACCGTTTGAAACGAATCCAATGTTTTATATGCAAGTACATCTATACTGCTACCATTACTACTGGTATTACTGCTACAATATACGACCGGAAAATGAACCCATTTAGCTGAGGTGATGTGTTGCCGGAACTTGGGGAGTTGCTCGACCTCTTCCCCCTGTTTACCATTATGATCATCGTCATCGTTGAGAAAATACGAAGCTCAGGCTGTTTCTTGCTCTGTACTCTCCTTAACAGGCATAGTAATTCGTGTCGGCATTTCTGTGTGTGTGCCCTGTTTCTCTACTCTAAGTCCTTGTGTTAGTCAGTATTTGTGTATAATACATATTCCCTGTTTCCTCTCGATGGTGACGTCGGTTAAGTGTCGTCTTGAGCCCTCTCGTATGTACGTTTGTGTGCGTAGGGTTTTTACTACTGCTCCACTACGACCAGCAGCAGCATCATCACAGCCTCGGTCATTGTTGCTTCGGCGGTGCCATTGCTGACGGACGTAGTCGTTAAACTCAAACGAGCCCAAATTAGTCGTCATGGTACGCTATAGAATAAAATGCTCTGTCGCGAGAAGGAACCGGAACAGTGGCTGCATGCAGAATCGTCCTTCTTCTTGACTTTTATTAACATTGCTCTCTGTGTTTATGTATGATATATTTGCTCGTATGTGATGTGTATATACCCATGATAACTCTGTAAAGGTGGCAAGAAAGATTAACGTTCGATGGCAAAACAGGCAGACAGAATGCAGAAGTCTAGTGGTGTCTCACCCACAACAACTACGTTCAACAATTGTATCTATGTAAATGCAGTTTTGACACTATTACCATAGCTAAAAATCACAACGAAGACATTGTGTATATATCGCAGAAGAAAATATGAAATTTATGTATCTATGCTGGTTCAAGTTTCTTTATTCGAGACACACTGCGTATCAGCACTATATAATATAGAGCTCGTTAGATTGTAAATGCTAATACTAACGTTATCATTTGTAACTTCATTTGTACGGAACTTCTTTGCAGCCAAAACTAAGAGTAAAAACAATGTGTATGCAACAGTTAAAATAGCATGAGGAGCGACAAAAAACAAAATTGACTAGAAACCCCATTAAATTTAATTTTACATCTAGGTTTCGGTTTTGAGGCGATAGGTCAATCGCACGGACCGAATAACACGTTAAGCATTCGAAACCTGTGTTATACCTTCTGTGGAACTTCCATGTTTGGAAAGAAGTTCCGAAGTTCCTCAGGGACAGCAGCGACGATTTCGTAGTAGCGTCATAAAAAATGAATCGGACTGCTGTCGTTCCAGATGCTCTGTCTGGTTCGCCATTTGTCTTCTCCCTTCTCATCCGCACAATAGGTTTACTTTGCCGTCGGCGACGTCAAAGCGCTTTATTAACTACGCGATCTCGACTTGTGTGTTTCGAGCGTCCAGCCAGCCAGTCAGTTAGCTGCTTCTCGAATCGAGCTCCCGTTGCGCAGTTCCATAAGTTCCACAGTTGTGCTTCCCGACATTTACTTGCTGGAACTTACTTGTGCGAACTTCCCGTGAGTGGCTAGTTACTGCGAGTGGATACGCTGGCGCCACTCAGTCGACTCGTATGAGATTGACGCGTATTTGTTACGCCATTTGTGGCCTTTAAGACGGCACCGGCCGGCCCGCAGCTTATAGTTATTGCTCGTAAGCAGGAAGGTGGCGTAAGGAAGGGAACATGAAAGGATAAAACTGCCGACAAGAGTGTCTCGTGTGTGTCTGTTTAGGTGTGTCTGGAGTTCGTATGTTGGAGCACGTCATGATAATAAGTGTTGATATGAGGTGCTACGACTCTTAGTATCGTAGCAGCAGCAGGCAAAGATGGTGGACACGACAATTTACGATCATCTCGGCCTTTTCCTCGAGTCGACAATTCTCAAAGAATGGAACTCGATATTCCCCTCTGTTCAAATCGGTCGGAGAGTTTGAAAAGAGGGGGTTTATTATAGTTTGTTTTCGATTGCTGATAAAGGCGGAGTTGTATTGGAATTTCAGTTGTTAGACCACAGGCGCATTACACAAGCGGCGTCCAGCTGTTTGACATCAGTGTTGCATAAGCGTATGCGTGAGCATCAGATCGAGCGGCATAAGGTGACGTGCTATAGGCGGATAATGTAGAAGTAGGCGAGACGCTAACAACGATCTTAAATAACCCACAACACGAGCGCGGTTGATCTACTTTGTGGTCCCCATTTTAATGTATTATATTAGGCCGATCAGAGAGTCATTGAGTTTTGCTGCTCACTTCAAGAAGTGCCAACTCCTGGAAGAGTCCGACCGCTACCATTAGGGTCATCTATTTGGGCCTGTTAGAGTTTCTTCGACTGTTCGAGCAGCAGGTTTAAGGCTTTTTAAGGTAGGTTTAAGGTCTAGCCTAATGCTGCTAATGAAGAAGGCATTCGTAGAGGTGATCTGTTTTGATAGACTTATTCTCGAATTTCTGTCTTTTAGTTTAAATCACTTTTCCTCCACGTCACGCTTTATCGGTTGACCCGGGTTCGATTCGATGGAGTAAAGCCTG